ATCATTTCAAAATGTCTATCTCCCTGCATTGGGATCAAGAAAGGATACTCCTTGATTCCATGGTCAACACTGGGGCGTGTGGAAACTTTATTGATTCTCAAATTGTTTCACTCAATAAAATTCCAATAATTAAGAAAATCAACCCTGTATCAGTGAGAGTTATTGATGGTTCTGACCTAACATCAGGTCCCATAGACTTCCAAACCCAACCACTATTGGCAGTGACTAACTCCACACACGTGGAATACTTATGTTTTGACGTAATCTCGTCACCTCATTGTCCTATCATCTTGGGATTACCTTGGCTACAATTACATCAACCCACGTTCATGTGGGAGGAGACCAAACTCTTGTTTGATTCCCCCTACTGTAAAACCACTTGTTTTAATTCCACTTCCCTGTTCCACACTCAACCTGATGTGGAGGATGGAATAGCATCACTCTTACCTCAGCCATATATTGATTTCCAGGACGTCTTCTGTAAAAAGAGAGCTGAGGTCCTCCCACCGCACAGGGCCTACAATTGCCCCATTGATCTCTTACCCAACAGTAAACTTCCGTTTGGACATATCTATCCACTCTCACAACCTGAGCTAGAACACCTTAAACTCTACCTAGACGAGAACCTCAGGAAAGGGTTCATTAGACCCTCCACTTCTCCTGCAGCTTCTGGGCTGTTCTTCGTACAAAATAAGGATAAGAGCTTGAGACCTAATATCGACTATGGAGGATTGAATAAGATCACTATAAAAAACAGATATCCCCTGCCACTCATCCCAGAACTGATAGAGAGGTTACAGTCGGCCAAAATCTTCACTAAACTGGATTTAAAAGGTGCCTATAATCTTATACGTATCAGGGAAGGGGATGAGTGGAAGACTGCTTTTCGTACCAGGTATGGGTTATACGAATATCTTGTCATGCCTCTCGGCCTATGCAATGCCCCAGCGACCTTCCAGTCATTCATTAATGACATTTTCAGGGATCTGCTTGACGTTTGTGTCGTCATCTACTTGGATGATATACTCATATTCTCCAACAACATATCCGAACACCGTAAACATGTCAGATGGGTATTTGCGCGGCTACGTGTACATAACTTATATGCAAAAATAGAAAAATTTGTTTTTGAAACCACAACCATGCCATTCCTGATACATCGTATCTGACAAAGGTATTCAAATGGATCAAAGCAAGATTCAGTGTATCCAAAACTGGCCTACACCACGTAATCAAATTGCTTTACAACGTTGCCTTGGCTTCTCAAACTTCTATCGCAAATTCATAAAGAATTTCTCTCTCATTGTGAAACCCTTAACTAGTTTAACAGGTACCAAAAAAGGCTTTGCATGGACCCCACAAGCGCAGAAGGCTTTTGACGAGTTGAAAAGCCGGTTCATCACAACACCCATTCTCTGTCTACCGGACCCCCACCAACAGTATACCCTAGATGTAGATGCTTCCCACTCAGCGCTTGGCGCTGTTCTATCCTAGAAGAAGTCGCACCTGGCATCACTCCATCCTGTTGCTTTTTATTCCCACTATCTCACCCCGGCGGAGATGAACTATCCCATAGGTGAGGAGTTACTCGCCATCAAGGCTGCTCTCGAGACCTGGAGACATCTGCTTGAAGGTACTTCTTTACCCATTATTATTTTCTCGGATCACCAAAACCTCCAGTACATTCAAACAAACAAAACCTTATCATCCAGGCAAGTAAGATGGGCCCTCTTCTTCAACCGATTCAACTTCCTCATTACTTACAGACCTGGATCTCAGAATGGCAAGGCAGATGCCCTCTCCAGGATCAAAGAAAACGTAACACCATTAAGACATTCCACTAGCATAATTCCACAAGAGCAATTCATCAACTCCATCCTGAGTCTCAAGGAAGAACTAAAAAATGCATTGTGGACAAGCCTTCCTGAGCCTGGGCTGGACATGGATGAGGAAGGCTTCTTGTACAGGGACAACAGACTTTTCATTCCACCCTCTCTCTCACATGATGCTCTATTATGTAGGCACCCAGGAATGAACAAAACTCTACACTTAATCCGCCGGCATTTCTGGTGGCCACAGATGGCAAGACTGTTGATGCCTTAATAGCAAACGTCATCAAATTGCATGGATTACCATCCCGCCTGGTTTCAGATCGAGGTTCCCAATTTATCTAAAAATTTTGGAGAGCTTTGTGCCAAAAACTCAAGATCGATCACCGACGTTCTAGCGCCTATCACCCCCAGACGAAACCCCAGATCAACCGTTGCCTGGAACAGTACCTACGCTGCTACTGTAAGTACCTACAAGACAACTGGCATGAGCTACTTCATCTTGCAGAACTCTTGTACAATAATACCGTTAGCAGTTCTACTAAACAGACACCCTTCTTTGCCAACTATGGATTCCACCCATCGTATCTATCCCAAGGTTTACCTACAAACAACCCAACTGTGGAAAACTACTTCCAGGAACTACAGAACATGACCTCCTTCCTACAGAAGAACATTGCTCCAGCCCAAGGCTGCCAAAAACGGTACTACGACTTAAGGCGGAGAGCACCTCCAGCCTACCAGGCGGGGGACATGGTATGGCTTTCTACAAAGAATTTACAGCAAAAAACCCTTCTAAAAAATTCAGCAGTTTATACATCGGTCCGTTTCCCATTTAGACGGTTATCAACTCATCTTCAGTTCGACTTGCCTTGCCTCCTGACCTGCGGATACATCCCACATTTCATGTCGCCTACTGAAACCGTTTGAACCTAACACCTTCCCCAACAGGGTTCCAAGTCCGCCACCACCGGTAACGGTGGAAGGACAGGAGGAGTTCGAGGTTGAAGGGATTTTAGATTCCAGAAGGCGCAGAAATAAGCTCCAGTATCTTATCAGGTGGAAATCCTATGGACCACAAGACGACTCGTGGGAAGATGCTTCTGACGTTCATTCACCTACCTTGATACGTACATTCCATGCACAGCATCCTTTAAAGCCTACTTGACGTCGTACCCCCTGAGTGGGTTCCTTGGGGGGGGTGATGTAACATACAGGCATGATCTCCTGTCCAGGTGCGGAGCTCGCTGGCTCCGCCCCCTCAGCTGTTTTAAGCCACGATTGCACAGTGGGCCGGTGTCCAAGCAAGGAGGAAGACGCCGACCTACTGTGCTGACATCCTCGTCTGGATCGCCTAAATCCCCACACTAATTCTCATGACTCTGTCCTGCAACCCACTTGGGGCAGCTGATTCCTACCACAGCATACTGCCACAGGCAGCAATTCAAGACAAGATGGTAAGGAGGGCCCTGCCCCTGAGGGCTTACAATCTAAAAGGAGGGGGAAATGATACATGAGGTAGCTGTGGTAGCTGTGGGAATGAATTATGTGAGAATGCTAAGGGACTTTACCTGGATTACAAACACTGCATGTTCCCTGCTTATCAGCATGTTGCTAAGTGACTTTACCTGGATTACAAACACTGTATGTTCCATGCTTATCAGTTTGTTGCTATGTGACTTTACCTGGATTACAAACACTGCATGTTAACGGCTGTTATCAGATTGTTGCTAAATTACTTTACTTGGATTAAAACACTGCTTTTGATTGCCACAACTTAGTCCTGTTACTACTTATTCCATGGTGCATTACTGTCTGTAGCTGAGATCCTACCAGACCACGGCCAGTACCTTACAGTAATGTACATTTGATGAGGCTTTGGTTTGAGGAATACACAAGGTTGCCACCTAGAAGGTATTTACAGTAACATTCCTGGCTGGAAAATATGAGACTTGTTATTAACAGCAAAGTCTTTATAAGGCCAATATTTTCCCTAAATTGGGTGAAAACCTTGAGTACATGGGTAAGCAGATATTTTTATTGTTCATCTATCAAAATTATGAGGGTTTTCTCCAAACTCTATACAATAAAGATGTATAAAGAACACTTCATTCTGTGCCCCATTGCAACCAATCTGAATCCAGTTTTCATTTTTAAATATGAAATCTTCCTGTTAACACACTTTTCCTTTATCAGCCCTACCTTCTTATTGTCATTAAAGTCAAGACTTACATGTATCACTAGACAATCACCAGAAGTCTATGCTTGAATATCATACTTTTAAAATGCAATCACACATTTGTATGCTGTGATAGCTAACTAATATTACATTAAATCTAAGCCAGGTTGTTAAACTAAACATCTGTAATATAGAGCAGAACAAATAACCTTATTCCAAAAAACATTTGCAAGGTGTTACAGTGGCTAGAACAGACTGCCAACCTCTGGTATAGGAGATATGTTCTCATCAGTATTCAGAAAGAACTCTAGTCCTGACTGAATACCTATGCCTCCTAATTACAGCATCAAACTCCAGTTTGTGAGCCTTTATTGAATAAAGCTAAAAGTGTGGTTAAAGGTAATTTGCTGTTTTTTTAATAGATGGACAGATACTAGACTATCTAAAGGGTTTTTTTCAGCAGCAGCTCTAAAGGATTTTGATTCCACCAACTGACATGTTATTAGTATAGCATAGAAACAATATAATTTCAACAATTTTCTCTAGGTAACTTTTACATAATAGCTCAAAAGGAACACTTCCAAATAATATATTAAATCTTGCCTTTAAAGTATATGTCCAGCCAAACCTTTGTATTAGTTTTGAATTGGGTAAGAATTAGCCAGTTCCAGAGTAATTATAGAAAGATTTCCCTTTTTACCGTCCTGCTGAAAGTGGTTTAAGTGCTTCTATTTAGTAGAGTAGGAAAAAGCTGGAACCCCGGATATATTAATTTCTGTCTTTGCTGCAGATTTTCCATCATTTTCTGTGTGGTGAAACCACTGTCAGCACGTAAAGGAAAATCTCTCTAATTAAGTACCAGATAGCAGTAAAAATCCAACAGGAGTTCTAATCCTTCCCCGTTCTGTCCAAAACTAGCAAACAGTTTTTTACCTAATATACACCTTGCAAACAAAGAGTGATTTTATAATACATTAAAGAAAACTGCTTACCTGGCGTAAAATTGTATTGTGCAGAAAACCCAAGAGATTCTAGTTCACCATCAGCAAAAAATTTAATCCACAAGAATCTTCCACTTGATTTTATAAAAGGAGGGCTTTGTTGTCCACAATAACGCCCAATAATTGGAGAAAAGCCAAATGGTCCATCTCTTACTTCAATATGATCAAATTTGCACTCCCACGAAGACTCTATGGCATACTTGTCATCAAAATGTAGCTCAATGCATTGTCTGGGGGATGCTAAAAGACAAAACACAGTTTTTAAACACAGTGCTATTTTAATTTAATATACAAATTTAAACATATGTTAAAACAGGCCTAAATGTTTTACATACATTACAATTTTATGTTCTATCTGAACTGAACTTCAGTCAGGATTAGTCACATGTAAATCTTGAGTGTGCTGGCATTCATTTCTCTTTGCTTGTGAGCTGCAGCAACACTTGCATGATGAATTTTGCAACTTCGTTCACAATGGCTAATAGCAATGTCCTTTAATCAAATAAAATAGATGGCTGAGGATTCAGTGTTGCATCAAATGCTTTAATTATAAAGGCTGAATGTTGTCCACAGCCCACAGAGGTAGGCTTTGTGTCCTGCTAAAGGCTGACAGCTTTATGGAACATCATTTTTTTAATTTCCAAAACATAGCGCTAAAAGTTAAAAGACAAAATGTGGTAAATAGCTCTTCACTAGAAACTAGTCACATTTTTATTTTGAATTCTTCCTTTAACTCTTGAAGTAGATATAACAGGCATAAATAAGAATTAGCACAAGTTAGTAGTGCTACAGCTGATAAGAGTAGGGAGCAGAGTTGAGATCATCAGTATGCACTTTCATAGTCAAATCAACGACTGGGAGAAGGACCTCTAAGTATTACGTAAGTTAATCTCAGAAAAGTCAGGTCCTATACCCTACCAGACAGGGCAATGCTGTTTGACAGGTTGTATAAATCATAAAACTGAGCAGCCAAAAAAACAAATCCTTAGGACAGCTATGTTATGTATTTCAACTGTGTATTTAGCTGTTTGCATACATCTCAACTCTCCCGGAAGTTCTAGGAGTCTCCCGCTATTAGATAGCGGCTCCCTGACACCTGGGAGAGAAACATTTTCTCCCGTAAAGGTTTGTTCTGCTCTATCTAGCAGAGTAAACCTTTCCGTGCTGTCTTTTTTTTTTTCTGACATCGGGGCCACTGGCCGCCGTCAGTCAGAAAAAAATAATAAACGGCATAGGAACTAATAGCTAGATTATTATTGGCTATTTGAATTTGCAATAGCCTATAGCAGACTTCACTATTGCACCCGCACACTGCTGCTGTCAACCAGCAGAGGTGGACCTGAAGTTCTCCATCAGGTCCCCCTCTGCTGACTGACAGACGGTAGATGCAATAGCCAGCTTGCTATTGCAAATTGAAATAGCCAATAGCAATCCAGCTATTAGTTCCTATGCCGTTTTTTTTTCCTGATGGCAGCATTAGCTTCTTTGCTATCTGCCATCATTTCAGAGGGTGCTCTCTTACTTGTTGCTGCACCCCCACCCCCACAGAGAGGAGAGGGGGGTTGACAGAGGGCACCGCCCTGAAATGAGAAAGGCACCTCCCTGAAATGACTTATTTCAGGTTGGAATCCCTGTGTTTACCTGGAGTTCAGCATTAAATATTAAAAAGCGGTATCTGCTATTTTAGAAACTGTGTGTAAAAAAAGGCTTACAATGAATGTAGACCCTAACTGTATGACATCTACTTTGCTAAAGCACTTTGTATCGTATACAAAGGCCATTTTTTAAAAATACTTCTTTTCAACGTTTTTCATCTTTTGTTGTATCTCATACTACTGAATTGTTACAGCCTCTTCCTGTTTACATATATGCACTTCAGTGATGGAAGTATCACATTTTTCAGGGAGGGTAACCTGATGGAGACAACAGTGAACCATAAATGCTCACTGTGTGTTGAAACAACCAACTGCAGTCTCCAGTGGAAGCCCATATGACAGGGTGGGAATGCAGGAGCACATTTGGGAAAAAGGGTCAGAGCTATGTTACCCTATAATTGGAAGTGTCTGAACAATGGACCTTCATGGCAGGTTTACCAGTTATCATTTTAAATGAAAGCTACAAATGTTAAAATATTGAAAAGTCCCTTTACATTATTGTGTTAAAGCTTTGGGAGATTTTAGTGATTGCGTTTACATACACTGAGTGGCCAGATTATTATGACCACCTAACGTTTGTAGCCAAATTAGCTATAATTAGCTATAATTTCGCGCTGAAGTTGCTAGAGGGACAGACCATTATAAATAGGGAAGCAGGTTGTTTACCACTACAGTAGAAGTGATTTTTTTTCTGAAGATATGGGTAAACAATGTGATTTAACAGCCTTTGAGTGTGGGATGATTGTTGGCACTCGGAGCCATGGAGCGAGTATCAGCAAAACAGCAGAATTTGTTAAATGTTCAAGAGCAGCTGTTGTTAAAGTGTTTAAAGACTGGACTGTCAGCCGAAAATCTGGGTCTGAACATGCGAATTGTGGCCGTCAGCAACTAGTCAATGTTGGGGCAGAACAGAGAGTGGCAAGACTGGTACAAGACAATTGAGCTGCAAGTTTGAAAATGACTTGCTAAACTATTGCAGACTTGCCACGCTTCACAATTTTGTTGCACAATTACAGCAAGTCTGCATTGCAAGTCTCCTCTTGCTAAGAACTGCAGGACTCTTGCTGTAGACTTGCCAAGCAAATTTGCTACAAATTCAAAAAGTGTCAACTAGAAGTGTTCTGCAAGTCTACAACTTGCCAGGAATGTGTGCAGCAAATTAACAAAAATGACAATTTCACCCTGCCACAAGTTTGTAGCAAGTTATCCTCGCTATCTGGGAGAAGGGCAACAGTGCAGTGTCAGATTTCTCGCATAACGTTTCAACATCTCATGGAGTCACGAGGCGGCCCAACGCAGTCATCTCGTGGAGTCATCTCGTGGCCCAACGAAGTGTATACTTTAATTCTGAAAATATTACTTGAGCCAAAAAGGTACAGTATATTGTATATTGAAGTTTGAATGCAAAAGTTATGTTGCTGCCCTGTAAATCTTTTCTTCAAGAGATTCCATATCTGTATTTGTGAGACCCTGTTCTTCCTGCTATAAATTTGCAGGGCAAAATTTGCATGTAATTTTGTGACAACTGGAACAAAACAGACATTTCTATTTACTCATGTATTTATAAGTCAGCACAAATGACACCAAGCTAAACTGATTAGCTGGTTCAAGTCTGGTGACACTGGCTTAATCACTTAGCTCTATTGTATGTATTAATGCAAGAATCCCTTTGTTCTATGTTCTGTTGGCATTAATACCTTCTAGTGTCAAAATGTTTTCGTGCCTGTATGCCCCTGATGACTAGGGGATATGTTACACATATCTTGAACCTTTTGTGCTTGTACCATTATACTATGTAGCACTTCTGGTACACCTGTATAGTTTCATTGAAATCATTGGTGGATCAGTGGCTTACTACAGGGTTTATATTTTCCCCATGTGTTACGTAGGTCACTGGATGTCTCATCCAGGATCTAATAGCAGAGCTGTAAGTGACAGGACTTTCGGAACCACCAGCGCTCTTTCATTTAGTTTTCGCAGGGTCATTCATTGATTTAGGGGTCTAAGTGGGGAGAGGCATTTAGGAAGGCACTGAACTACCAATGACATAAAAGGAAAACAAACACGTGACAATGTATATGGTCCAGTAAGTCCACTTGGTATATCCTTGGGAACTTTAAGAGTTCCTTTGATAACCTTTTAGACTCCAAGTACTGTACCTCCAGTTCTTATCTAACCTTAACTATTAACCAGCATTGAGTTTGGGTGTTTCTGCTTTGCCTCAGTTTACTCATACTTCGTTTATTGAGGACTACGATAGCAGGCTGAAATGGAATGTTCTTGTCAAACATTTCATGCAAAAACTAAATTTACAAGTCACAATTCTTTCTAGGGCCATGTGAATTTACTGCAGATTTCCTTCAGAAAAGGTCCTCCCACTAATGTGTTATGGGAAATCTTTCATGGGAAAACTTTTTAGAAAGCGTTAGCTGGAGATCGGCTTGTCAACTATAATCTAAATCTGCTACTGAATCTAATACCACCCGCTCTACAGGTTGACAATGCTGCGGTCCAAGGGTGGCTCCATTGATCCTCCACGGAGTAGAAAATCAAGACAGAAAGAGTGTTACTGGCTGGATCAGTAGGCAAGAAAAGGAAAACAAAAGCCTAAAAAAGAAAACTAATGCAGCCCTCATATTAAAAGATTGCTAAGCTGTAATATAATTTGTTTGTTTTGTATTTAGATATGCTTTAACAATGTAAATATGAAAAGAGTTACTTGTAGTTACTACCACTAATGAAAGTTGCAGAAGAGGAAGTAACTAGGTGAACAAGCCAGGTATGATGGTATAGGTAGTGGACACTTCAGCGAGAGTGTAGTATAAAAATGGAGATGGGGAAAGCCAAGAGAAGGGACACCTACCCCTTCTAGATGTGTTACTACTGATACATTCTTTATTGAAGGTTAGGATTGTTGACGATTATGTTAGTATCTGTTAAACTATACATGCAATATGGAGCAATGCATACCTACTACAAGTTATTGAACTCTACATTTTAGATCTATTTTCTTTAATACAAATTTAAATGTTTTGTTTTGTATCAACTTTGATTTTAGACATGGAAAACAGAGAATACATTGTTCTCAGCCAGAAAATCGTTTATGGAATTTCTACATGTGTATAGGAAATGCAATTTGTAAATGTCAGAAATAGGTAAATAACAAAAGGTGAATTGTGTAAAATCTTTATTCTATATTACATCGCTTTGTAAAATACCTACGGCTATTTATGCATACATAATAAAACAGAAGTGAAATGTTATTATTATAATGTATTATTTTTCCTAATCCTTTTGACTTTGTTTTCTGTCAAATACACATTGCATTTTTAGTTACATACAGGGTTATTAAGAAAGCTGTCGAAGGCAGCCGTGTGAATAAATGACCCGAAGTAAAGTGAGCGGAATGCTGTTCGGCTATTCACTTCAGGCTTGTACAGCTGATTTCAGCCGTCCATCGGCTTGCTTCGGGTTGGCATGTTCGGCCGATCCGAAGTGCAGAAGGAGTTCAATTCAACCGATCCAACACCTGAATTGGCTGAGCCAAACCTCCGGCTCAGCCAATCCAGGCTATCTCGCTGCTGT